TGGCTGCCAAGATATGCAAAGTGTTCAATATCCTCCAGCTCCTCTGTCAATAAGAATCTTTGTGGGGGAAGTTGATTGGCCCAGAGCAGGCTGGTAAAACACCTTTGTTTTTCTGATGTTAAGGGTCAGTTCCCAGCACTAGTATGCTTGAGAGAGGCAGTTAAGGGCTGTTTGTATGTGCAGTGACAGCACAATCATCAGCATACTGAAATTCCACAATTGAGGATGAAGTAACTTTGGTTTTGGCACAGAGGCAAGAGAGATTGAAAAGGTTCCCTTACATCCTGTACTCAGTGCTGATGCCATGTGGCAGATGGTCATGGATATGCATCTTGATGACTGCAAGAAAGATGGAAAACAGAACTGGTGTGATCATGCAGCCCTGCCTGATGCCAGTTCAAATGGCAAAGGGGTCCATAGAGCAGCCACCACATAGGATGGAGACAGTCATCTGGTCATGAAGGAGTCTTAGAATGGTGATACTTTCCTTGGGCTGACAAACTTTGATAAGATCTTCCACAGAGCTTCGCAGTTAACAGAGTTGAAGGCTTTAGTCAAATCAATAAAGGCCATATACAGTTCCTGGTGTTGTTCTCTGCCTTTATCCTGTATCTGCCAGGTCACAAAAATCATGTCTGTGGAGCCTCTCTATGGACTGAAGCCATATTGAAACTTGGGAAGGATTTCCTTGGAAAGAGGGAGTGGTCAGCTCAGTAGAATTTGAGCGAAACTCTTTGATATTCAGAAAGCAGCTGACACAGGTGATAATCACGGAATATATGAAAGCATCAAATAAGCAGGGGTGGCGGGTTTAGGGGTGGGGGGTATGTGAGGGCAGCGGTGCCCCTCTGTGGGCCACACAGGTGCCACCCAGCCAGCCAGACATGGGGGGGGGGCTCGCACACAGTGGCTGCCACTGCCATCTACTACCCTGCACTGCTGCTGCTCCAGGTCTGGCCGTGTGCTCCCTGCCCCCCGCTCCACATCCAGCCATGCACCTCCTCCCCTCTCCCTCCCGCTCCATGTCCGGCTGCCAGGGGTACACTGATTTTAAAAGGTTGAAAAGCCCTGCCATTAGACAAAAACAAGAGGAGCGAAGTGACCATGACAAATATAAACATATTCTCCCTGTGGAACAACAGTGGAAAAGTTATGACTCGCATTATGCTCTGTAGCCTGCCATCTCTAGGTGAAAAAAATCTGTCCTGAAAGTCAAAGCAGTTTTCGCTCAGGATGCTCCAACAGTGACAGTGATATTTTTGGTCAAGCAGCTACAGGAGAAGCATAGAGAAAAATTAATACCATTATACATACCCTTCATTGATCTGATGAAGACTTTTGATACGATCAACAAACCAGGCCTTTTTACTGTTCTGAAGAAATTGGGTTTCTCCCACCAAACTTGAACATCATTTGCTCATTACATCAAGGTATGAAGCCACTGACTTCCTGAAAAATTAACATTCAGCAGAGCCCTGCAGACTGACCCTTGGTTTCACCTGCTGTTACACTGCACCTTCAGTTACATTCACATTACATTTCTCCAGTTCCACTATGCACTCCTCTATGTAGGTAGACCAAGTTCCACATGCACACTGCTCTCTATTCCCCTTATTCCAGCTTCAAGCTTCCTCGTCCACCATGCTGATCTGCCTCCCTGCCACACTGTGCCCATGCCCTTGCAATTCTGGGCATTCTGTTTAAATTTTGACCAACCAGCCAGAACTTGCCTACAAAATATGGGACCGTCCCAGCCAAAGCAGGATATATTGCACCCTATTCATGCTTAGCCCATGGGAGGGCCACATACCTTTGCACATTCACCATTTGTTTTTAGTAGTGATATAATAAAGTTTTAAAAAAATCAAAAGTCCCTCTTTCCCCCTCTCTTCTGGAGCAAAGCATAAGGGGTTAAAAATATAGATTTTCCTTAATTCAGGTCAGCTGCATTACCTTTGGTATGTGTTTTCAGGCCAAATGCTATCCTTTGTTGCATATGCAAGGCTTCTGTGGCAGATAGGGGGCACTCCATGTACTTGTATCTAGCCATAGAATTTGGCCCTTTCCATTACCTTTTGTATGAGGGTAGGTTCTTGCCTGCTGAAGCCAGTGGCTTTATCACAGCAGCCTGGGCTGATCTAGAGTTTTGAAAAGTGGGGTGCAGATAGTGTGGCACATCCTCACCGATTTTTTTCTCTAGTTAAAGAGAAACTAAAAGCCTTACTAATATGCTAGGGGCAAGTGCTATATTATTCTGTTCAAGATGAAAGCAATCACAAATATAACTATTGGAATGTGCACTGATTTGCTAGTTCATATATCAAGTTTAAAAAAACACAACAAACACAAACACAGCAAACACAAAAAATAGTCAATGAAGTTAAAAGATATTGCATCATTAGTGAAGTTAAAAGATATTGCATCATTAGTCCTGTAGTCATTATAGTTAAATGTATGTCTCTTATTCAGATTCATAAAACAAAATCTAGCCTTCTTGATAGTCTTGACAGTGTCTCCAATACTTCACTGGGTGCATCTACACGATACACTGACTGCAAAGTACCCCAATACTACTGTGCAGTACCATCATGTGGCAAAAACTGTGACATGATTCTACTATGCAGTAGTGTTCAGCTACTGTGCAGTTGTGTCACAAAAAAGGTGTTTGCTGGCACTACTGAGCAGTAACTTGGATTACTGTGCATTTATTTAGTACTTGTTTACACAAGTACTAAATAAATGTGCAGTAACAACTCCTCAATAGAGTCTCGTATAGACATGCCCACTGTCAGTCATATCTACACCTAAGTTAATATTACTTTACCTAAATTAAGTTTTTTATCTAGAACTAAAAATAGTCTGTAGAGCTATGAAATAGGAGAGAGACATTACCAGGAATGACTAACAGAAAGTAAAATTGCAAAAGAAAGGATAATTTGAGAAGTGAAACATCAAGACCATTAGAAAGGATAGAGGGTTGTTAACACCTGTGGAGTGCAGAGAGATTAACTTGAATCAGGGAGATGACCCTGAGCCAATTGACTCTCTCAGCACTACCTGAATAGAAATGCAGCTGCCCCTCCCAGTAGATAGTATTAAGTTTGTGTGGAGCACGAATTAAAGGCAGTGGAGATTCTGGCCTTAATGTGAATTTGAGAATGAGATTTTTTTGTAGTGAAATGCTTAACTAATACAACCACTTGTTTTTTAGGTCCTGAATATTCATAGCATAGGCAAAATATTAAAATAACAGACCATACCGTCCTTCGGAAATCATGTAGTTGCATGCCTTTGCAGTATTATGCTGTCATTGTTAACATCAGTGGGAGGATATACATGAAGAGAGCAGATGATACCAAAGGGAAATATTGGCAAGGGTCCCACAGGAGAAATCAAGCTACCAAAAAGTAGATATGTGTTTGTCTGGTGGGGTGGGAGGTACGTGTGATACATGGAAGTTCTCATTTCTCTTCATTTCTTGTAGCTCACTGTTTAAACACAAGATTGACCCCAGAAGACATTAATCATTCATCATTATCATGCCCGTGGCAGCTGATTAGTTGTGAAATTAATTTTCCTGATTATATTAAAAGATGGTTTATTCTCAAGTTACCTCTAAACAAAACCACGCAAGTGTTTTACTTTTTTTTCTTCCCCATCCTTTATACAAACAATCCTTCCCATTTAGGGAGATACCTTTCCCTTTTTTTCTTTCAATTTTACTGTAGATTGTGTGGGTAACAAGTAAGAATGTGGAACTGCTGGAGCTATTCGACAAGGGATTAACAAATAGCTAAATTTGACATTATTGGATTTACATTTTTTTATTTTTTTTTAAAAGATAAATAACAAAAAGAGCCAAATTCTCAGAAAAAAATAGTTCTGTAGAAAATATGACTGTATTTTTAATAGCAGGTTAAAATAACTGAGAATGAATGACAGTAAATGTATCCACTGTGAGGTATGCAGGCAGTAGCAGATCCAGGACAGGTCAGGGTGGGTACAGTCACTCCATTTTGATTGTACGTCACATAGACAGTGAGTTTTGAACTAGCTGCTTGGCCGTCACAGGCTCCTGCCAGAGCTCTGCACGAGTAGTGAGTTCTGAGCTTACCAGCCAGTCATGGAGTAATAGAAAAGTAGGGCTGGAAGTGACCTTTCAAGGTCATCTAGTCCATCCCCCTTCCTGAGGCAGAATCATCTCTATCAAAACCATCCTATACAAATCCTTGTCTAACCTATTTCTAAAACTGCACAATTAACCCTGTCACCCAAGCTGTCCCCCCAACTCAGCACAGATAAAGCAGGGGGACAACAGCTGCGGGGATTATTAACATATGCTAGAGATCCAAAGAAGAGTGCCATGCCCGTGCTACAGAGTACAACAAAAGAGGAAAGTGAAAAAACGCTGACATGGGCAACAACAAGATGGGGAATAAATGCCTTCCTGGCCTTATGCCGCAATCGCAAAGCCCAGAAGCACGGGACATGTCCATAGCCTAGCATAGGCATAGCTACTCATAGATCACCCCGATCAATACTTATTCAACCTGTCTTGAACACCTCCAATAATAGAGATTGCACAACTTCCCTAGACAGTCTGTCTCGCTGCCTAACTGTCATTTGCCCTTTCCCTCCTTCTTTGTCCCTGGTGAATTTAGCAGCACAGAAAAGGAAGGGACAAGTGATGGTGGCAAAGCTCAAGCCCTAAGCTGCAGACTGACATTAGACACTGGAGCTCAGGACAGACCCTGCACCAAGGAATCATATATGACACAGTCAAAGAGGGGTGCAGCTGTGCCACTGCATCCCTTCTGGATTATCCCCTGTATCTAAGTAAAGAGCTCTTTAGTTAACAGTCCATTCTTACCCGAACAGAGCTTCTTTGACTTGCCAGCCTGACTGTATTTGTACTTCTCACATTTTGATGACTTTATTGTGGGCACTAGTATTTTGTGTCCTTCTAATGCTCTGCTTGATGTTCCCTTTGATTTTTGCAGCGTACCTTCTGGATTGGAAGGTATGAAGGAACAGGAAATCTGCAACACAATTATGGCCACAATGCTGGAAAACTGTCATACTTTGTTTGAACTGGAGCACGCAAAGCAAGATGCGGAACAGCATCCATGTGAGGAGCTAGCGAGAATTATTTTGGTGAAAGTGAGTACCTGCAGTGTTTTTCTTTTCTGATTTGGATGAAGAGCTGTGGGGCAGGTGATGCTGTGTAGGGCCCTGTCCAGAAATGTTCTCAAATTGGATAGGAGGCAAAAATGCCAGTCTCATACATTTCTCTGGTATTCGTTTATGTACAGTTGTGATGCTACCACCATTGTATACTAACAAGTCTATCCTTTTCATAGATTTCATAGACATTTGGGCTAGAAGGGACCCTGGAGGATCATCGAGTCCAGCCCCCTGCCCCAGGGGCAGGAAGTCAGCAGGGATCATAGGATCCCAGCAAGATAAACATCCAAATGTGTCTTGAAGGCATCCAAAGTGGTTGCTTGAACCGCCTCCGGTGGCAGTCTATTCCAAACCCTGGGGGCTTGGACAGTAAAGAAGTTCTTTCTTATGTCCAGCCTGAATCGGTCACAGCAAAGTTTGTGACCATTCGATCTTGTCATCCCTTGGGGCGCTCTGAAAGGCTGATTTTAGCTTCAAGATCTTGATGGCTTTAGGGGTGTATTCTGTTTGTTTTTATTCTTTATAAAGTTAACCCTAATGTTTAACTTTATGATTTTAAAAAGGAAACCTATTTGATCTTTTCTTTTAATTAAAACAGGAGAAAGTGGGGGTTGGGGATGGAAATGGCTGAGGTGGATAGCCAAAACAAGCACTTTTCTTGGCCAGGCCCCACAACAGCAAGAGCTTAAGGCATACAAGTTGGTTCCTTACTGTGAACCAGTGGTGAAGGATATATGCCCAGTCAGGAAAGACACTTTCTGGAGCTGTTAATTTTTAGAGCATGTAAGAGGAAAGGCTATTCATGACTGTGCAGTGAATAGCACACAAGCAATGGCTAAACAACTAAACATAATATAATTCTTAAATAATGAGGACCCCAATATACTTTAAGTTGTGTCTCTTGGTGAGAGAGGGAAGGTGTGAAAATTATATGCAGTGACTCTTTTAGAAAGGGACATTTAGGAAGATAGTAAAAAAGTCCCATCATGAATCATGGACTAGAATGGTTGCTTCCACAAAGAAGGTCAGAACCCAGACAGTCATCTGTGCAGAATACTGATGGCAACGATGGGGTTGCAAAGCCACTACCTGCACTCTATCCAATGCTTCCATCGATGACTTGTTCCTGGTGAATTTTAGGCAACAAAAACAAAATTGAATTTGAGGACCTGAAGTGACACAGTGAGACCCAGCTGGGTCATAGCAAAGTACATGGCAAAATCATCAGTGAATAATTAAAGAGATTTCTTACTCAAGTTCCACTAGATGCTTTCTACGTGGCCCTCATTCAGGGCAAGTTAAAGGCTTTTGCCTTAGTCATCATTCTTCTCTATGCGCGCATAAAGTCCTTGGACAGCAGGGAATGGAACTGCTGATGACTCATTTGCCATCTCTTCCCTGATGTCTCATACTGCTGTCTCAAAGCTCATCGGAGAACACCTGTGTCCTCCAGGCAGAGGAAATGATCTGTACACTGTTTGGAAACTAGGAGTCTAGAATGTTCCTTGACATCATAAAGCAACTGTTAGTAAACTGATAGGTGTCCGGGCCACTAGATGCCGCCAAGGAGAATTCAGCAAGAGTCATCACAAACTGTCAATTATTTGTTAGTCTCTCTGGTTGGAGAAAAATGGGCCGAGGTGTTTGCTGACCATGGGGAAAAAGTGGTCCCTATGCTTGAACCACTTTAGAATCCCCAAAGACAAGCACCTTTGAGAATTAAAATGCTGGTTCGAAGAGCTCGGGCATTAAATTCAAGGTAACTTGTTAATTCATGTGTCTACAGATCCATTTATTTTGAACATGATCCAGGGGTATAAGAGACGACTGGCATTACTTGGATAGATGCATTGGACTGAACGCAAGATGAGGAATGTGAGAGTCCTCTTGCATTACCCTGTTAGCTGACAAGTTACAGGCTACCCAGATGGTACAAGTGGTGCCAAAACCGGAGGTCTAATCCTGTCATCAGGTGTTGGTGGCACCTGCAGATTTTGACAGTAGTATATTGTAGGTCTGTGGACAATGTTTGGCCTTGTTCCCAGATAGCTAACAACAGGGTTGTAGCTAGATTTTCCAAGATGTAGGGCAGTGTCTTGAAGTAGGAGCCATAACACATGAGTTGTGTCCTCTGGAGGGTGGGGGCCCTCACCATGGGAGCATGCTGGGGAGGAGAACAGGATGTTCTATGCCCCTCAAGTGAATGGTGACTTCCTGCCCAAGCTGTAAGGGGTGTGCTAAAGAACAATTTGATAGTGTGCCTCCTGCCATTTCTGGAAGTTATCCATTTTGTGTCATGACAGGGATCCCTAAACACTCTGACTTTCATTGTGAATCCTAGATGGTGCAATGGTAGTGGAAAAGGAATGGGAATGAATGAGTTCAGTAGGAGAGGGGAAAAAAAACGAGTTATGTTTGAGATTACTGATGCACAAGCTTCTGTAGACAGTAGGTGCCGGCTGCTCCCTGTCTTGAAAAAACAATTACTCTACAGATGTATTGACTTGCCCAGCGCAGCAAATAGTTATTTGGTGGTCTGCATGCAAACACTATTCTTAATGAAAGTTAATTCCCACCTATGGCCAGCTAGATTTACTAACTACAGTAATTGTACTATGTGCACAAGTGAAAAGCATGGGGCAAATACTGCTCTGATTTTAGATGTTCCTCCAACCCCATTGATCCTCAGCTGTATTGCAGCCAGCTGAGAATTTGTTGCAATCAGCATGGGCAGCAGTTGAAAAGGCAGAGCTGTCCCTCACTGAACCCAAATGTCTTCCATGGCGCCAGTCTCATTGGCCTTCCTCTGCCTCTTAGTGTGAGGAATAGCAGCAGTAGCTGCCACAGGCTCCTGACAGCATCACTCACTTACTATTTGGACCTGGGCTATTTCCATCACTCTCTTCCCCTCCCCTATAGCCTCTGCTTTCATTTGTTGCATTGCCTTTGGTTGCTTTTCCACTTAGATTCTTCTTACCCCCTGCTACTCCCCATCTGTTGTGCCCATTTCTTTCCTCGTCTTCTTCACTTTTCCCTTTTCCTTCTTTACTCAAACAGTCCCTTCCCACCATTCTTTCCCTTCAACCTCAACTTGTCCTTCTGCCTCTTTCAAAATAAGAGTAATAGTATTTTTCTTTATATGAGATAATGGCAGGGGGTGCGGGACCGCCACTGTGCCAAGGCTACTTCTTAACCTGATCCCTGTGTCTCTGTCATCTTTGGTCTGAATTTTTGACTCATTGGATTGTCTGCTCTTAAGGGCAGAAACTAGGTCTTAGTCTCTGAGTTTATCAAGTATCCAGGGTAATTTTGATTCAACAAATACATCCTCTGAGATGTGTGTTCTGACCCTAGGCATCATTAGGACACTGTTCTGTGGGAAGCACTTTGTTTGCCTTCACTTTGAAGTGCTGTTGTAAATCCTATCAGAGAGTCCCTGGTATGGGAACTGAAGCACTTATAGGAGGAATATGTTACATTTTAAAAATGTATAAAATTGAAACCCAGGCTGGGCAGAACACCAGCACAAAAATCACCCTGATTCAGAGTTATGTGAGAGCTCCTTGAAACCTGTTGTCTCTATATGATTCTGTGATCAGCATCTGATGTTATGAACACTTAACTGGCATTTATACAAGTGCTCTGGGAGTGGTGGGGGCACTTTAATAAGAGCAATTCCAAGAGCTTTTCTAATTAAGGCACCTGGAATGTCATGTGTATCAGCATCTCCGCGCTAAAAAATGGTGGCAGGGGCAATTTAACTAAAGCCCTTTGAGCAAGCTTTAGTTTAAGCAACCCCACTGCCATTTTTCAGTGTGGAGACGCTGATACACATGATGTTGGAGTCTGCTGGAGTGCAGTAATTACCGTGCTAGTCTACTCCAACAGACTGTAATTACAGCTCCCCAGCCCACCCATAAGCAGAAGCCTTCCTGGGTGTGTGCATGACTGTAAGCATGCATACGTGTAATACACCTGCTTCCCCCTCTACTTTCCAGTCATTCCTGAGTGCAATCCAGATATGTGGCTGCCTGTTGTTCTTGCAGCCTGCATACATAATGGTCTGCTTTTGTGGAGCAGATATCAGGCTTATTCCAGGTATTTGGTAGCAAAACATGATACAAGGGGATTATGGCTTTGGCCATTCCATTTTGGGAACATAGCATCCTCCATTGAGCCCTGTTATGACTGTCATTTTCTTGAGCTCCCATGGCACCTGATGTGTGGGTATCTTACTTCCCACATACCATACTATTAAACCTTTGGCTTCTTTAATGGGAGAAAATGTGCTTTTCAAACAAAGCCATGCCAAAATCATACTTGGCTTTGTGCAGCTTATTGGAAAAAAAGAAAAAAAAAGTTGAATGGATTGACTTGGCACCACATAATTTTACTTCTGTATAAAAGTTCAGTACTTCAAAGAAATTCTCCAAATGGAAGAAACTGAAGTAAGCAGCTTTGAGAGAGAGAGAGGTGTGGTTACAAACCAGCAGTAATCATTAGCAGAGAAGGATTTTGAAATCCAAATTGTGTCTCCTACTGCTCATGCACAGGACAACAAGGGCATATAAGGAGCAGCTTAATCCCTGTGTCTGCTTCACCTCTTGCATGGGGCAGACAGAGGAGGGGAAGCAGCACTGACTTCAGTTTTGCACCATGTTTAGTCAGTGTGAACAGGGAAGTCAAGTGTCCAGGAAAAGAGCTGATTCCCCATACTTTTTCTAGGAAAAAGAGAATCTCTTTCCATGTTGGAGTCCAGTACCTGCTTCATTGACATTTTAGTTCCAATTCAGGATGGAAAAGTTTAATACAAACTTTGAACAGACACAGATTTCCATTTTCTGACCACATGTAATTTCAGTCCATCATAAAGTAATAAAATGTTCATTGAAGCTGTTCTTTGGTTTGGGGTACAGTTTCATGACCTTGAGGAAGTTTCTGGATGCTGTGGAAATGTTTCTCTTCCATGTTGTTTT